CTTATTTCTGACCCGGACAATTTTAGGGGTCTACAGGGGTCGACCTTTCTGCGATGCACGTTGATAAGGATGTGCGAGGTAGGCAATTGGTTAATGAGGACAACCTGTCCGAGAGTGCCAGCAAGGATACTACTGCTTGAGCCTTTATTTTTCTTTGCGTTTTTTGTGATAGACTTAGTTTATTTTGCTTGCTTTTAGCAGCGTGTTGAACTCATTACTTTTTGAATGAATTTTCTATTGCTTATCTCACTATTGTTTGAAAGCGAATGTCTGACTAAAACTTTTGATGCTAAAACTTGACCTTTAATTTTCGCATTAAACTTTTGAGGCTTAGACTTGGCCTTAAGGTTCAAAACTTGACCATTAATATATTTTGTGCAAAGGTTCGAATTCGACCTTGGCTTAACAAGGTATGGATCGTGCCAAGGTTCGAATTCGACCTTGACTTAACAAAATACAGATCGTGCCAACGTTCGAATTCGACCTTGGCTTAACAAAATACGGATCGTGCCAAGGTTTGAATTCGACCTTGGCTTAATATGAATTGTGCCAAGGTTCGAATTCGACCTTGGCTTAATATAAATCGTGCAAGGGTTCGAATTCGACCCTAGCTTAATATAAATCATGCCAAGGTTCGAATTCGACCCTGGCTTAATATAAATCGTGCCAAGGTTCGAATTCGACCTTGGCTTAATATGAGTTAGACAGTGTGAGGTTGAAGAAATATAAGTAAAGTGAGTCATTCTTATTGATGTTGTGGGTGTGCCTCGTTAAAAACCCTCTCAGCCAAAACCCATTTTTCTGTTTTTGGGAAAAAAAGGCTAGGTAGGGAAAAGAGTGCAACGCCCCATTTTTACAACTTAGCTAAAATAGAATTTAAGATGAGTGGCGTTCCATGTTCTCGGGATGGTCTTGTCGCTGAGCTCCTCTAGTCGGTATGCTTCATTTTCTAAGTCTTCGGTGACTCGGAACGGGCCATCCCAATTAGGTGCGAGTTTTCCTTCTGATGGGTCTCTCCTCGCCTCGCCTTGTAGTCGCCAGACGAGGTCTCTTGCTCGAAAGGCCCTCAAACAGACCTTAGTGTTGTAGCGTCTAGAAGCGCGGAGTTTGCATGCTTCTTCTTGAATCCGAGCTTCCTATCTGAGTTTGTCTATTAGGTCGAGGTTGGCTGCTGTTTCTTGGGTGTTTTGCTCACTGTCAAAGTAGTGATGCCGATGAGACGTCTCACCGACCTCGGCTGATCATGGCGTCGGCTCCATAGGTTAGCTTGTAGGGAGTTTCTTGAGTTGTGGATTGTGGGGTGCGATGATATACCCAGAGAATGCTAGGGAGCTCATCAACCCATTGTCCCTTGGCACTCCCTAGTCGTTTTTTGAGTTCTCTTAAAATGACTTTGTTCCTAGCTTCGACTTGGTTGTTGGTTTGGGGATGTTCCACCGAGGTGGGGAGGTGCTTGATGCCGAGCTCTCGGAGGAAGATCTCGAAGCTTTGTGCGATGAATTTCCTACCATTATCGGTGATGAGGGAGTGCGGGATACCGAACCTGCAAATGATGTTCTTCCAGGTAAACTTTTGCATGTTCTCGGTAGTGATTTTGGCGAGTGGGCAGGCCTCGATCCACTTGGTGAAGTAGTCGACGGTGACGAGGAGGAATTTTAGTTGGCCTTTCGCGGGGGGAATGGTCCAAGGATATCCATTCCTCAATGGGCAAAGGGCCATGGGGACGCCATTTTGTGGAGGATATCGGGTGGCTGTCGATGTGTGTTGTCGAACTGCTGAAATTATTTGCACCTTTGTACGTAATCTTTGCAATCTGACTTCAGCATGGGCCAGTAATATCCAGCTTGGATCACCCTGGTCGCCATCGAACGTGCCCCGGAATGCATACCGCATATTCCTCGATGGATCTCTTCGATGACATAGGTGGCTTGGGACTTGGTGAGGCATTTTAGTAAGTGAGCTGAGATGCCTCGTTTGAAGAGTTCATTCCCAATGATGACAAATTTAGATGACCTTACCCTCATCTTTCGAGCTTCGTCTTTGTCTTCGGGTAGTGTCCCCTCCTTTAAGTAGTTCCATATGTCCATCATTGTCGCCACCGGCCCGAAACGGGATTTCGGCATTCGCGAACGTTCGAATTCGACCTTGGCTTAACAAAATACGGATCGTGCCAAGGTTTGAATTCGACCTTGGCTTAATATGAATTGTGCCAAGGTTCGAATTCGACCTTGGCTTAATATAAATCGTGCAAGGGTTCGAATTCGACCCTAGCTTAATATAAATCATGCCAAGGTTCGAATTCGACCCTGGCTTAATATAAATCGTGCCAAGGTTCGAATTCGACCTTGGCTTAATATGAGTTAGACAGTGTGAGGTTGAAGAAATATAAGTAAAGTGAGTCATTCTTATTGATGTTGTGGGTGTGCCTCGTTAAAAACCCTCTCAGCCAAAACCCATTTTTCTGTTTTTGGGAAAAAAAGGCTAGGTAGGGAAAAGAGTGCAACGCCCCATTTTTACAACTTAGCTAAAATAGAATTTAAGATGAGTGGCGTTCCATGTTCTCGGGATGGTCTTGTCGCTGAGCTCCTCTAGTCGGTATGCTTCATTTTCTAAGTCTTCGGTGACTCGGAACGGGCCATCCCAATTAGGTGCGAGTTTTCCTTCTGATGGGTCTCTCCTCGCCTCGCCTTGTAGTCGCCAGACGAGGTCTCTTGCTCGAAAGGCCCTCAAACAGACCTTAGTGTTGTAGCGTCTAGAAGCGCGGAGTTTGCATGCTTCTTCTTGAATCCGAGCTTCCTATCTGAGTTTGTCTATTAGGTCGAGGTTGGCTGCTGTTTCTTGGGTGTTTTGCTCACTGTCAAAGTAGTGATGCCGATGAGACGTCTCACCGACCTCGGCTGATCATGGCGTCGGCTCCATAGGTTAGCTTGTAGGGAGTTTCTTGAGTTGTGGATTGTGGGGTGCGATGATATACCCAGAGAATGCTAGGGAGCTCATCAACCCATTGTCCCTTGGCACTCCCTAGTCGTTTTTTGAGTTCTCTTAAAATGACTTTGTTCCTAGCTTCGACTTGGTTGTTGGTTTGGGGATGTTCCACCGAGGTGGGGAGGTGCTTGATGCCGAGCTCTCGGAGGAAGATCTCGAAGCTTTGTGCGATGAATTTCCTACCATTATCGGTGATGAGGGAGTGCGGGATACCGAACCTGCAAATGATGTTCTTCCAGGTAAACTTTTGCATGTTCTCGGTAGTGATTTTGGCGAGTGGGCAGGCCTCGATCCACTTGGTGAAGTAGTCGACGGTGACGAGGAGGAATTTTAGTTGGCCTTTCGCGGGGGGAATGGTCCAAGGATATCCATTCCTCAATGGGCAAAGGGCCATGGGGACGCCATTTTGTGGAGGATATCGGGTGGCTGTCGATGTGTGTTGTCGAACTGCTGAAATTATTTGCACCTTTGTACGTAATCTTTGCAATCTGACTTCAGCATGGGCCAGTAATATCCAGCTTGGATCACCCTGGTCGCCATCGAACGTGCCCCGGAATGCATACCGCATATTCCTCGATGGATCTCTTCGATGACATAGGTGGCTTGGGACTTGGTGAGGCATTTTAGTAAGTGAGCTGAGATGCCTCGTTTGAAGAGTTCATTCCCAATGATGACAAATTTAGATGACCTTACCCTCATCTTTCGAGCTTCGTCTTTGTCTTCGGGTAGTGTCCCCTCCTTTAAGTAGTTCCATATGTCCATCATTGTCGCCACCGGCCCGAAACGGGATTTCGGCATTCGCGAAGGATGGTTGGACTCTTTTATTTGTTTAAAAATATGGATTGCTAGAATGACTTATTCTCAAACTGAGACCTTGTCAAACGAGCAATTTTATTAAAAGGCTCACCAATCCATGTTAATCCCAAGCGGGACCCTCCATGGATTAGCGGTTTTCATAAAAAGGTTTAATGTGTTTGGGAATGCCATTTTGTTTGTTGAATTGAATTGAATCCTCTAGCCATGAAATGTTGAAGTGGTTGGGGTGAAGTTTTGTGTGTGACGAAGATTGTTGGTATGGCACACAAATTGATTGTTTTAAAGTGTTTATGTGATGGTGATAGTAGCAGTTCTGACTCTTTTGGCTTTTTTTTTTTGAAAGTTTAGTATGTTTTGGAATGTCATTTTGTTTGTTGAATTGGATTGAATCCTCTTGCCATGGAATGATGTAAGTGTGGCATAGCCAGAAACTGAACTGAGGTTATGTTTCTGCAAGTTTCTAAACAACAGTCTGCAACGTGAAGTGTTGTGTTTTGGCAATTGTGGCCATATCAGTTATATTTGTTCGCTATTCCCCACAATGAGATTAATTTAAAACCCTTTAGTTTATGCCATGGGAATGGCCAAGGGATACTTGCAATCAACATTGGTATTTTGATATAGTACTATCCTTAATGTTTTATTTCCTTTTCCTTTATGCTGTTTCTTCAAGTTATGATGCTTCTGAAATATACATTTTTGTGACTTTTGAATGTGTATCATTCCATTCTTCAGAACATTTTAGTCTTTACATTTCAGTTTCATAAAAAAGTAAACAATTTGGAACTCCATATTAATCTTCACTTGATTTTACTGAGAAATACTTTGTCCCTCTTACATACTAGCACATCACTCTTGCTACGTATGTTAACTACATTCAGCAGTCATTAAATGTAGAATCCTGGAAGGAAAAACAATGGAAATTTTCTGAGATAGATGTTTTAAATTGCAGAGAGAACTGACTGGGATTCTAAAAGATTATGTTGGTAGGGAGAGTCCTCTCTATTTTGCTGAAAGGTTGACAGAGCATTACAAGAGGGGAGGGCTAATGGTGAAGGGCCTCACATTTATTTGAAGAGGGAAGATCTCAATCACACCGGGGCTCACAAAATTAACAATGCTGTTGCTCAAGCTTTGCTTGCCAAGAGTTTGGGTAAAAAACGCATTATTGCTGAAGCTGGAGCTGGTCAACATGGAGTTGCCACTGCTACTGTATGTGCTCGATTTGGCTTAGAATGCATTATTTATATGGGTGCACAGGATATGGAAAGGCAGGCTCTAAATGTTTTCAGAATGCGTCTTCTTGGTGCTGAGGTATATCGTTTGTTATTGTTGTTCTGTTTGGTTAGGTTGATATATCCTATATCTGGTCTTTTGAAGATACCCATTTATTAAATGTTTGGTACTTCTTTTATAAATTTTAAAAGTTAATTTTAATTATGATAATATCAAAATTGTTATTAAATATTTGGTTTAATTTATAAAAAAATTATATCCTTAATTTAATTAATGTGTTTTAAGTTGGATTGAAAACTTTAATTTTACCTTTTTTATCCAGCATTTTTTATTTTAAAATAAACAAAAAGTATTAGTATAATATACATCATGTTATAAAATACGATAAAAAGTAGTTTTATTTTTTAATTTAATGATCATATTTTGTAATAAATATATTCATTAAAATGAATCAAATCAATTTTAGAGAATTTAAAAATAAAATTAAATGTTTTATCAAATTGTTTAATATTTCTATAAATAAATAATTAAAATAAACAATATTTTAAATTAATAAAAAAATTATATGTATTAAATATTATGATTTTTAATATTATTTTTAACTTATTCTTAATATCACTATATTTTATATTTATTGATGTAGTTTATATTTATTTATATAATTAATTAAATACTATTTCATCAAATTTATTAAAAGAAATAGTGAATCATACGGTTCTATTTTTTCAATTATTGATACCTTTTTAATTTGTATGTACAAATGGATCCCGAAGCTTTGGTGACCGCAGACCTACTTTACCCTTGATGTTGTGGTCCTACAATGTTAGAGAGCTTCCATTGAGGTCTTGGAAGAGAGCTGAGTGGGAAGATAAAAACCACTGCATCATTGCAGATACACATGATATCTACAAGGTAATCTTTCCTTTAGTTTTAAGCTTTTTGATTGCAATAAAATTTCTATTTTTCTTTCATTCAAAACTTTAAACTTTTATTCTTTTCATATTATTGTTAAATAATATTTATTAAAATTATCTTATTTAAATAATTTTTTTTTATTTAAATGTTAGACCATACATTAAATCAAACTACATCACTAAATAAAAGTATCTATCTTCAAATCACAAAGGAAAATGACATGTTTCTAATTATTGTTTTATCGGTAAGATCTATAAAAAAAATATTTGGATAATTTTTAAAAATGTATGCATGTGTGTAATTAAAGTGAGAGCCAAAAAGTTTAACCACTATAGAAAGGTGAGACAAAGAATTGTTTTATGGTATTTTTATGTTACTCTGCTATTCCTTTTGTTGTTCTTCTTTGCAATACGGTATAACGTGTAGATGTGATGATATTTTGGTTAATGTAGTTAGATAGATGCTCGAACTTGTTTGGTTTGATATAAATATAGATGTATAGATTTGAATTTTAATTTTTAAACTTGAATTAAATTGACATGTTTAATCTAATATAATCGTTGACTAGAATAATTTTTTTTTTGATGATGCTTTTATTTTAGTTTTCAAAATTATTATAAGTTGAAAATATATAGAGTTTATTATATTCTTTTAATATGTATAATAAACTGGCACAAAGTAAGTTGTTTTTCTTTTATTTAATTTATCTTTTTTAAAACAATAAATGTTTTTTTTCTTTCTATTTTTCTATACGTTTGTCTAAATTGATTATTTTATAAATAAACAATTATCTGTCTTTTAAAAAATAAATAAATAATAATTTTATAGTCATTTTTATTTAAAGGTTTAAATAAGCATAGAGAATAATTAAATAAGAATTTCTGAATTATTAGGATCATAGGGATTGCAATTACATACTGGAGTTTGAACATTAAAGTTGTGATTGGTAAAAAAGTTAGAAAGCTTCGATGAAAACTATGTGTATGGGTTAATTTTATCATTCACTTTAGATGAAAAAATATTAAAGTATTAATTATTTGTTATTCATTTAACAACTATAACTTTATATCATCATAATTTTTCAAATCAAATCTTTTAATATTTTATTTAATGAGATCAGTAAAGGGGTGTATGCAAA